AATTTGTAAAATCTAATGATAAGAAAATATATCTTAAATATAAGATTTAATGAGAGAATAACCTTAGATATGAGATAAGAGAGAATAGGAAAATAGTTTTATTTCTAATTGGTTTTAAATTTTACATTTCATTCTCATCATTAATAAAAATAGTTCTCATTTATCATTCTTATTATTGTTTAATATATCGAATATATGATGCTAAAAATGTTTTCATATTTTAATTTCTATTTTTTTGCATTTTATCTTTTTTTGAATTCTATTATTTAATTGTGACAACATGGATTGACCCGTTTGACCCAAAATGGTTTAACTTCTTATACCACCTAGATGAAAACACTATTTTTTCTAGGTTAAATTTAAAAGTATAAGTTTTTATGTTATTGGAATTATTAATTTATTATGTATGAACTTAATTAATATAATTTAATGACGAGAAGAAAACAAAAATGCCTTAAGTATATGATTCAGTGAAGGTGAATACAAACTAATATCTTAAATTTTGGATTTAACGAGAGGGAATTGAATGCATTCAATATCTTATAGTTACCTCATTTCAATTCATTTAATATAAAAAACTAATTACGCTATTTGCCCTCATTTGTTATCAATAAATTTAAATATGAAGAGACAAGTTTTATTCTTAGAAAATTTCAGAAATATTCTTAAGGATATTAATACTTTTTATATGATTTTTTTTAATAAAAGAGTCAGTCATACCTTGTCCCCTAAAAATAAGTGCGAGGTGATCAGGTGAACAACAAGTGGCAAAGATGCAAGAGGACTCAAGGTCTGAATTCATTTCAGATCTCTTGATGATCTTGATCACATTCCTGAGTTAACCACAGAGAAATGACACATTGTTAGGCTGAGGACTGACACGTAGTTGAGCCTGAACAACATGGCATGACCTTATTTGACCACGGATTAGTGCATGCCACAAGTCTCAAGTAGGATGAGGACATGTGGTAAATGCCAATTGAACTTACCATATGCCAAGGTCTGCACTTATGGCCCCAAATTCCTCGTCCTGCAATGTGTGGCTCACAGATCTCCTGACTCCTGCCCATAAACTTTGTCTATGTCTACTCACATAACATCACAATCACATATGGAGAACATCTCATACTCTTACATAATATTATATAAGGGGAGATGTTCTCAATTCAGTAATGTATTGTGGGTAGACATGGGCAGAATACTTGTGGGCAGGAGATCCGGAGTTGAACTCTTAAACTCCCTGGACTTATATTCTCTCTTGCACACCTAAGCTTTTCAACTTGTCTGGTTATGACAGTCCAACCAACTCAACCTGACCAATCTTCTCATTCTACTCACTAACATGAGCATTGAAGTGCTACTTTCCAAAAAACCACCTCAGGGCCCTTGATTTCTGTGTGTGAAGAACGTCATACTCATCCAACTCATTAGCACCTTTATTTGCTGCTCGTCTTCGGCTTGCTTGGGCTTTGGTAAGGTAGTTTATTTGTCCTATTGAATTGAGTGGTTTGATCAGTACTTTAAGTGTTTTGTTGGCTTTGGGGCTCTCTAGGTTGTGGTTATTTGTAGGATGAACCCTCTTTATACATTCTTTTCTCTCATAATTTATTTTTACCTTACCTGTCCTAAAAAACATATAATAATTAAAAAACAAAAAGTAAAAATAAAAAGATACCAAAAGGTTAGATACTAAATTTAAAGAGAACAATATTTAAGGTATAATTGATTATGGGTTTTAATTTGAAGAAATCCCACTTTAGGTACTCTACGCCCTGTTTAGCAATGTTCCATGAGAACGTTTCTATCGTTCCTAAAGAACATGTATTTTGGGAGTCAAAAATCAACTCTCAAAGAATGTGCGGTTCGCACCACATTAACCTATTAGCAAACACATGCCATATGTTGGGTATTTCACACGAAATGATAGAAATAAGTCTTAACAATCACATTTCATTTGACACTTCTCCTCCCATTACCGTTGCACATCTCAGAGGAAGGAGGGACTCTCTTGGCTCCTGCTGTGTCAACAACCGGATGGCAAGCGAACAGTAGGAAGGACCGGTGACATTTCCTGCCAGGAACACGTCAACGGGTAGGTTGTATTCATTCTCATCGTACCTGGATTTGTACCATCACTGCTTTGTTTTAAACTCATCGTTGCTTCAGCCAGATTCACCGAAACTAGCATGTACCACCCTACCAGAGTGGTACATGTCTTATTGGTTATATGTTTTTTGTTATGAAATATTTTGGATATTTAATAATAGAGTTTTTTTATAATCATGCACACAAAAATGATTTCATTTGGGTAGACCAATTCATACCCCATGATGGTAGTAGACATGTTAAAGTGCGAGAACAATCAATTACACGAAATAGGGACCGATTTGTAGCCATTACTATTTGCGAGTGTTGTTGCATCATGGCATGTTGGTCTTTTGTGTTTTCATGTTATGTTCATCTTGTGTCAAAGTAAATGTATTAGGATATATGGGTCAATACAAATATGATACAATTAATTAATCATATTAATTTTTTAAATACAAACACAACTTGTTTATAATACAGGTAACACGACACGATTCGTGTAATTCAAATTAACAGAATTAACCTATTTAATTTTATATTAAATGACTCTTAAAAACTGAATTAACACAAAATCAACATGACTAACCTGTTTAAATTAGATATTGAATAGACAAATAGTAAAATAAGCATTCAATTATCCATTACCTAAACAAATTCATGAAAACCATTCGACCAATACCATCCTTATCTACTATAATATTATTTCATCCAAATATACATACAAGATTTAATACTTACAACTTTGGGTCATAAATAGGCCATTTTTGTGTTAAGTGGGTCAACCCAAAATTAGCATATTTGTTAATTATGTTAAATAAGTTGACATGAATACGTTTAAAGTAAATCCAAACCCACTAAGTTCATTTTGTGTTTTCTGCTCTAAAAAATCACTATTTGAAGAATAAGTTCTGATAGAAAACAATAATAAATAAATATTCTTTGGTGAAGATAAAATTGTTATAAAAACAATTCTTAGAATGCATTTTGAGCATAGAACAAGAATTAGTTATAATCTATTCCTATAATTTAAAATTAGCAAGAAAACCCTTGCAAGTGAGGCCTGTGACAAGAGACCTGGCCTCCACACACTCTGGCCTCTTTCCATTATATAATAAAGATGCATTTGTCCACATCAGCCTACTATCTCTTGATTCCTTTCCCATTTAGAAATTTATGGGTTTTATTTAAAAAATAAAAATAAAAAAAAGATAGATTATTCACAATTTCACATCCTTTTTACTAGGAACCTGATCATTATAGATTTACAGTATTCCTCTTTTAACAACAGCCCATGCATATATCGTACGGGGCTCTAGTAATTTCTATCACAGTGATTCCTACAACCACAAAAATATTCCTCAAAAATTCATTGGGTTATTTACTTAAATATATAGGAAAAAAGTGAAAGACAAAAATACCCTTAAATGTTATTTCAAAATATGCACTTGATTGCTATTCATAAATGGAAAATCTTGATTTAAGTTCGTTCCATCTGATGACTGTGAATAATGCCTTCTCATTAATAATGCTTAATCATGATAGTCGAAAGTCACCTGATTAAACCGGTTTAATGAATGGGATACAGTTCTAAACCTGTAGATTATCGGAGCCTGGTTCTCCTCAAGTTAAAACTAATGCTTCCAGCCTTTGTCAGCTTCCTTTGGCGATTGATTCACAGAAACAAACTGGTCCCCCCTCTCTTTCTTACTTACAGTTTCTTGATTTTCTTCCGTTTGACTTTGAACGGAAGAGGCTTGGATTCTTGGTGGTCTGAAACTCTCCACAATCGGAGTCGGAGGCCTATTTATGTAAAGTGGGCCCATATAGCATAGGTATACCTAAGAAGTATAGTCAAACTATAACCTATATTTAAGCAATTAAACGCACTCCCCCGGTGCCTGACTGCCTGTTGTTTTGACGAGAGGCCCAAAAACAGCAGCCTTCCTTCCCTTCTCCAAAGACCGAAAAGAAACAGAATAAGATAAATGAGGGCAAAACTAAATTTCCAAACCGCTGCTAAAAACAGGGGAATTCTGTGAAAACTTAGGCCATGTTTGGTTAAAATTCTGCTCTAAAGAGAAAATGAGAATAAAGTGATTCTGTGATTAAGATAAATCCGTTTTTTTTAAGTGATTCTTAGCTCTTACAACCACAAAATTAGAATGGATGGTCCAAAAGAGCAGCCCAACACGCCCAGCCTGTCTTTGCCGTTCTCCAAATCTGGGTATCAGAGAAAAGGAAAACAGGGGAAAAATCTGGATTTCGAAATCAGTGTTCCAAAACAGGGGATTTCCACCAGGCAAAATAAAATCAATAAGCTAAACCAGAAATCATCAGTGTGTAGTCTGTTCATTAGTTTCCACGGGCAAAATGCTAGGAAATTACATTTTCTTTACCTGGAAAATCTAATACTCTTGTAGTGGTACTTGTGTTGAGTGACGCTTAATTAAAGAATTGTCGAAGCTCTTCCACAAAAAAGAGAAAAAGGAGGAAGACCTAATATCTTTTAATTTGGTCCAGCAGACATTAGCTGGGCTTAGACCGTCTAACTTACCTTGAACAAGACTAGATTCAAGGGCTACAACCGCTGGGGACCAAACAAACAGAGGCATGAAGAAAAGCAACTGAGAAAGACAAAACACATGAGCCAAACAAACAAAGCCTAATTGGACCAGAGTTAAATTTAAATCAAGCAGCCCCACTTAATGTGAAAATTAAACCAAAAACCATGCAATTCTTTCGGGTCAATAGTCCATGTTCAAACACTAGAGTAACCTCTTTGCACCTTCCCCGTCGACTTCCACTCAACAACTATTTTATTAGCTTTATTACGTGGGCCCAGTCCCTTCTTCCGCACTCAAATACTATCTATAAAATCTCATCACAACGTCCTCACGTCTACCACACAAACCGCTCCTCCCCCTCATCAATTCTTCAATTCTAATTTCTTCATCCATATCTTTTTTCTTCTTCAGCTCTACCTTCCTTAAAGAACCTTGAGCCGACAACACAGTCACTCTTCCCAATGGACAAACTACCCAAATGCGATGCCAACTATGTTCCCCTTTCTCCTCTTACCTTCTTGTACAGAGCTGCGGCTGTCTACGGAAGCCGCACCTCTGTCATCTATGGCGGAACCCGTTTCACCTGGAAGCAGACCCACGAGCGATGCCTCCGTTTGGCATCTTCTCTCCGGCTGCTGAACATCATATCCAAGAATGATGTGGTATCAGTGCTGTCGCCCAACGTTCCAGCTCTGTATGAGATGCACTTTGCTGTGCCCATGGCTGGAGCCGTGCTGAACACCATAAACACAAGGCTCGATGCCAAAAACATTGCCACGATTCTCAGGCACTCCGAAGCCAAAGCCTTCTTCGTCGACTACCAGTATGTGCCATTGGCAAGGGAAGCACTGAAGCTGCTCATGGCAGACTGCAGCCACGAAGCTGAATCGTCCCTACCGTTAGTTATAGTCATCGACGACATTGACTCGCCAACAGGAATCCGCCTGGGCGAGCTCGAGTACGAACAGCTAATCCAGATGGGCAACCCTGAGCATCCACCGCATCAACTAAAGGAGGAATGGGATCCCATAGCACTGAATTACACATCTGGGACGACCTCCGCCCCAAAGGGAGTAGTCTACAGCCACCGAGGCACCTATCTGAGCACCCTCAGCCTCATCCTACAATGGGAAATGGGGAGTGAGCCAGTCTATCTGTGGTCACTTCCCATGTTCCATTGCAACGGGTGGACTTTCACATGGGGCGTTGCAGCTCGTGGAGGCACCAACGTATGCATTCGCAACACATGCGCCGTGGAGATGTACCGAGCCATCGCGGAGCACAGAGTAACGCACATGTGCTGCGCGCCTATCGTCTTCAACATCCTGCTTGAGGCACGGCCCGAGGAGCGCCGAGAGATAGCCTCCCCAGTGCACATACTCACCGGTGGAGCACCACCTCCGGCGCCACTTCTTGAGAAGATCGAACGGCTTGGCTTCCATGTCACTCACGCCTACGGCCTCACAGAAGCTACAGGGCCTGCACTGGTGTGCGAGTGGCAGGCAAAGTGGGATCGGTTGCCACGTGAACACCAGGCCAAGTTGAAGGCGCGCCAAGGCATAAGCGTTTTAACTCTGGCTGATGTTGATGTCAAAAATGATATGGAGACCATGAGAAGCGTCCCAAGAGACGGACAGACTGTTGGTGAGATTGTGCTACGAGGAAGCAGCATCATGAAGGGCTACTTCAAGGACCCGGAGGCCACGTCCAAAGCCTTCCACAACGGCTGGTTCCAGACGGGCGATGTGGGTGTGATCCACCCAGATGGATACCTGGAAATCAAGGACCGATCCAAGGACGTGATCATCTCCGGTGGCGAGAACATCAGCAGCGTGGAGGTGGAGACGGTGCTGTACAAGCACCCAAAAGTGTTGGAGGCCGCCGTCGTTGCAATGCCGCATAACCGGTGGGGCGAGACGCCCTGCGCATTCATCACCCTCAAGAAGGGAGCAGAGAGATCAGAGGAAGCAATAAGAGAAGCAGACATCATCGCGTATTGCCGCAACAATCTCCCCAAATTCATGTCCCCCAGAAAAGTAGTGCTCATGGAGGAGCTCCCCAAGACATCCACCGGGAAGATTCAGAAGTTCCAGTTGAGGGAATACGCTAAATCTTTCACCATTGTTGAGCCTACTCCTCAGAGCACAGCAGAGTCTTCTCAAGGCAAGACCCAACGGTCCCACTATAAACATCAGCCTCAGGAACAAGTTCTAGCAATGTCTCGTCTTTAGTTAACTGTTTAGAATTAATTTTGAGGAATTAATCATCATGAGTCTTATCGTTTAAGCATGTGAATATACTAGCAGCTATATGATCATGATCATCAAATAATTGATTTAATTTGTATGTCCCTTTTCTGTGTGTTTATAATGAAAATCGTCCATTTTTGGTTTCTGGGTCTCTCAGTTCTCATGCAAGTTGTCTTCTGGTTAATGTGTCCTTTTTATTACACAGTATATATCTGGTACAAAGCACTTTATGACCAACCGCAATGGAAATGCTGTTACAGTTGAGGTTGGTATGGAGCCGGAAAAAAATATCTATAAATATACACAGTTGAGGTTGGCGAGGGCCATCAAACTCCTCCTTTATACCATGAGTCCATGACAATGAATTGGCAGTTGGGTTTAAATTCCAGCTACTTTGGATCGCATCAGCTTAAGGGAGGAGTTCTTCAATGTAAATTGTTTTTCCTGTTGGTAGGTTCTAAAAGCAAAGCAAAATCAACTGATCTGAAAGCAAATTGTTTTTCAAAAGTGTAGCATGTTCTTCAACTTCTAGTTTCAAAACCTCATTATCTTGAACTCTAGCTAGTTACAGAAACCATCATTTTTATGGTTTCAAATACACGAAAACCAAATTATTTTTACTTCTCAATACAAAAACATAATTTGAGTTGACGTTGCAGACTAAATTTTCTGAAATTTCTGTTTACATTTTGAAATGCAATAAAGTTGTGTATGGGTCTAATATCGTGGGAAATGGCGAGAAACCCCTATCTCATCAGCGTGAACAGCGTCACAGAGAGAGAGAGAGACGACAGCGTGAGACACCGTTCAATATATTCTGGAATACATGGTTGCAAAACGGTCCCATGACCCAAACGAGAAAATGTTCTGATTTGTGTGAGAAAATAATGTTTTCTACACAAGTCGTTTTCCACTCACTTTCTTCTATAACTCTTGCCTAATGCCTTCGCTTTGGATCGGAATTAGGCGGTTTTAAATCGGATTTGGATCCATTTGCATTTTTAGATTTTTAAATTTAACCGATTTCATTATATCTGAATATCTATAACTTTTCTTCGCTTTTTTCAACAACGGACCAAATCGGCCGGTAGGATTGGTTAAACTGTGACCCAGGCTTCTGGTTGGTTCAATCATAGCTCCAAAATTAGTCGTTTAATAAATCTGCAAGTTTTGTTAAATCCTATTTCATTTATATAGAAACTTTTGAAGGTCATAACTTTAGCTTGAATGTTCAAGTGGCGTGATTTTTTTTTTTTTGTTTTTAATTTTAGATAATTTTTTGAGATAAGACACCAATTTGAGTTCAAATCAGTCCCTCACAAGATTGTCCCCCACAACCTCACACAGTACATTTATGTCGTGTACTGGGAACATCTCTCGATGATGACATCATCATTTCTGATATTATCATTTCCCAATACAATATATTTTGATCTCCACCAAATTCTACTATTTATGCCAAAAAATGCCTTTTCTGGTCTCAAATCTTAATATTTAATATAAAAATTGAAAGTAAAATAAAATATATATAATAGAAAAATATAATTACATATAATTTTAATATAATTAGCATATTCTATATATAATTATATATATATATTATATATTATGTCATTACTTTTGATCTTGATTGAACTATGACCCATAAACTTTTCCCCTTTTTTCTGGTTTGATGCCCCATCTTATGCTCTGAAAATTACTTTTTCTCATTTAATTTCTTTAGAACATACCCTAACTTTTTTGAATTTGTATTAGCTGAACACAATGGGCTGTAATGCTAGCCGTGGAATCATTGACAATTCCCTACCCCGATCATAAATGCTAAGTGAGAGAGTGAGTGGTTGTGGGCCATATCTCTATGATACCACAGCATGCTACACAGCCCTTGCATTCAACTAATCCACTTGCGTAATGTTAGGTCACCTTTTAGTTTCTACAAAACGAAAACGACATGTGGGGGCGTGCTCCCCTGTCTTGTGTGGAATTTGCTAATATTCATCTAAGCCATTGTTAAATGACCAAATTAACCCTGAAAAGTCATGTCACCATCTATGTTACATTTCGTACTTACTATTAAAGAAAAAGAGAAATTACCTATATCCACTAGTCTATTGTTATTGTTTCATCATTCCTGCTTATTCTTCTTTGAGAGAGATAATGACATTACATAGACAATCCTATCCATTGTAGTAGAGCTTTACAAATGGGTAGGTTCTATCCATAACTAAATGGAATCGATTTTAAATTTGTCTTGAATTAATCCTATCTAATCTATTATCGATTAGGGTCTAGTTCCAAATTCCTGAAATTAATTCTCACTGAGGTCGATTTTAGGGTTTAGGGCTTTATCCCTATCCAAATTGACTCAGAAAAATAACCTTAATTGGCCTTAGTTGATCTTGGTGGAATCAGCCTTGAAACTGAACTTGTCTTAAAATAAATTCCAAAATACTTTAAGGATGTGAAAATTTTAACCCAAGCATTCATAGCTATAAAGTTTATGCATTAGTGTAGAAAAGTTTCTATATTAAACCAATAACAATTTGCTGTCCTTCCCCATTTCAAAATTAAAGCCATTGCTTCAAGGTGGAATTGCAGATTGCTATTGGCTAGCTAGTGTAGAAAACTTTCTTCATTAACGGTGCAGGATGTTCATTTAATGACATGAAAGATATTTTCAATACACATCTGTAATGTCTTGATTTGTGGGTAGAATCTAGATCCATTAAAGTAGATGGATTACCCATTTTTCATTTATTCTCTCTCAACCAGCCACTGTTTTGGTGTTGTTGTCAGAGGTAAGTGGAAGAGAACTGATGTATGAGCTGTAAGGGGAGAGAAGGTGGCATAGGGGCCAGCTGCCAAAGAAGAGAGGAAAGATGAAGAAAAGACGCATGGCTTTGTTATACATTCAGATGGAGGGATAGTACATTTGTAAAAACTATTTTATCTCCTGAAGGTAGATTTCTTACAGGGCTTCTAGAGGTTGTGAGAGGTCAGGTCAGATAATATAAATATAAGTCTTCTATAAATGTTCAGAGGGGGGGGACCTTTTGAGAGTGGATCAGGCTTTGGCTGCCGAACGGGGGTCCATGTATGGCGTCAAAAGGTTTACCCATCTCTGAGATTCCTTCACTCTTCGCTTTTCTTTGAAGAGGAAAAATCATCGCAGATGGCGATACATTGGGCATTTATGTTTTGTCGCTGTTTTTTAACACCGATAAACCTGATTTATTAAGAATGGATACCCACTGGGAGAAGTTGATCTCTCAATTCCTAATTTCCTAAAATTGTGTTTGGTTGCAGTACAAATTCATTTGGGTTGATGCAAGATTATGGTAGTGCAAATTATTTGATTTCAAGTTTTGATTTATTTTTGTTTCAGATTTTATTTACTTTGTTTGATTGCATTAAAAATGAAATAAAATAAGACCCAAAGGAGGAATAAAATAAAATTAAGCATTTTTTTCATTTGTAATCCTATATGTTGTACTAATACAAATAAAATTGCACCGTAACCAAATGCAGCCTTAAGGGTGGGCATTGTCGGGTTGTTGTATCCAAATTTGAATAGGCCTAACCTGAAGATTAGCATGAAGCGGCGGTGTAAAAATATTAATTTGGGCCAAACCCAAATTGCACTAAATGGAGTAGAGGAGTTTGAATCATACCATTCTTTTAGGCTGCCTATGTTTGGTTTGATAAGAGAGATATAGAAAGTTGATGGAAATTTTCTAAGGAATTTTACAATTAGTTAGTGCTCTAGCCTTGCCTATTAAGAAAAAAAAAAAAAAATACTAGTGCTTTAGTCCAGTGTGGTCAACTTTTCCCCACTCGCATGGTGGACCTCTGACGGTGTTACCAACGTTGTCTGACTTGGACTACTGGACCTAGAAATGTGGTCGTCGGGTTGAATGGTTCAATCATCCGGCTAGATCTTTTGACTAACTAATTAAAAAAGCTAAAAAATAGAAAATAATTTCATATTTTCTTTTAACGCTATTCTATACCAAAATAAGCATAAAACATAATTTTTTTAAGCTATAAATAACATGTTTTTGAGATAAATTAGACCACGGGAACGTTTTAATGAACATTAGAAGGGAATAAAGAAACTTTTTAATGGACATAATCCAAAAACCATTTTAGCTATCAATTTGAGGTTAATTATATGTGTTTAATCGTCCAATCTGGGCAAGTCTGACAATAATCAATTCTATATAATGGACAAAATCCAAAGTCAATTTTAGCTTTCAATTTGAGGTTATTATGTGTTCAATCGTCCAATTTGGCACTTTCCTGCTTTTTGTTTTTTTTCATAGACATTTATTTTTTTATCTGTTTTTTTGAATTTTTCAAATTTTAAAATTGAAGAAAATAATTCAAGTGGTCAATTACCTTTAATCTTTTAACCCTTCTCATTTATTCACTATTGACTCTCTCTCTCTCTCTAATTAACTCTTTTTAATTATCTCTCATTAATTACACCACTAAATTGCCTAATTCTCTCTCCTTCAATAATTCACCCCATTAATTCTCTCTCATCTCCATCATCTCCATTACTCGATTAAATTGCCTAAAATTCATTACTTTAAATTATACATTAGATATATTTATATTAAATTGTAATTATTAATTATATTGAAATGGAGATATTCAATAATATATTACTAGGCTAATTATTATATTTCTATTTAAAAAATAGTTAGGTTTTAAGTTAATTAATCAAGTAATTTACATTTCAGAATAAATATTAGGATAAATTACAAGGGCCCTTATACTATGGGATTAGTGACAAAGACCCCCTATACTTTAATTTGTGACAAAGACCCCCCTCCGTTGGTGTTCCATCTATTAACATCGAAAAAGATTCTCATCTATCTATTTAAAGTTTTCTAAATGCCCAAACTACCCTTTTATAATTTATTTTACTTTTTTCTTTAATTTATGAAATCTTATTTTTTTACACATTGTACTATTCTCATATTTTGAGTGCTTGCCTTGGGACCAAAGTGATGACGTTGGTTGACAATGAAGTGG